GGGGAGAGAGGGGGGTGGGGGGGGGGGGGGGGGGGCAGGTGTCTGCGGAATGGCCCCATGTTCCACCCTAAACATGGACAGTGCAATTTTCCATAGCAACCAGTCAGAATTCCTCTGTGGATGTAATGGTAAATTGGAATCTGGTTGCTATGGGTTACTGACGTTTCTTGCTCTTCCTCTGCTCTCTGACTTATTAAATGACAAAAAAAACTGTAAATAGCCGATTTGTATAAATTAAATGTGAGAGTTTTTTGTAGTGTGTTGAAGTGCATTGATTGTAAGTGTTTACGGGGATTGTGTTGACTATTCAGACAGAAGTTAAAGAAGAATTCTGAAAATGATTATGAACCGTTGCTGTGGAGCTACCCCTGTACTGCAAGGGTTAAGTGCTGATTTGTGTTTAGGGAGGAAAATAAACAAGATATGCTCGCCTGATCCTCGGAGCTGGCTTACTCTCAGGCCTCAGTCACACGAGAAAAGGCCGGCACCTACAGATCCGTGCTGCGTGCACGGTCGTATCAGGCAGCTCCCGGGAAGGACAAGTGCTGCGTGTGATTAGTAAGCAGCCCCCGTCCTTCTCTATAGGAGTACGCCGCCGTACGTTCACCCCAAGTGCAGGTGCATACGGGTGTACCGGCTCGGACGCAGACAGGAGCCATCCTGTCAGCGTACGAGTACAGACACCTGCACCCGTACAGACGTGTAGGGCGGCATACGGCCGTGTGCTCCCATAGAGAAGGACGGGGGCTGCGTACTAATCACACACATTACCTGTTCTTCCCGGGAGCTGCCCGATGCGGCCGTGCATGGAGCTGTACACGCCGGCCTTATCTCGTGTGAATGAGGGCTTAGACCCGTCCCTGGAGCCTCTCTCCCCCTCCAATGCAGTGGTCTAAGGTCCCGTGAAGCATCACGTTCTATACACTGTGTATAGAACGTGATGATGCAGAGGTACATTAGATTGCTGCAGCGAGAGAGGCTGGAGAAAGTGCCGTCACAGCCGGCTGGCTCTGGGGATCGGGTGAGGATAACTTTGTTACTTTTAGCCCTAAAGTAAAATGCGTACTGAACCCTTGCAGTGCGGGGTTAATAATAATTTTCCCTGGAGTTCTACTTTTAAATATAAAATGGCCAGGCATTACTATTAGGAAAAGAGAACGCACTGAACCTTATTTATCAGTGTGGCTGCAGTGCCCATACCAGCCAATCAGATTCTTCCTTTCAGTACAGTAGGGAAGAGAGAATAGAATAATCTGAGTGTTGTGAGAAACATCGTGATCCAATCCAAGTGTAACCAGATTCAGCTTTTTAGGCCGGTCGCTGGGATCGAGACCGCTGTGTAAGCTACAGGTGAAACTCGAATAATTAGAATATCGTGCAAAAGTAATTGCAGTAAGTGCTGCAAAAGGGGCCCAAACCAAGTACTGAGTACATATGCATGCTTGTACTTTTCAGAGGTCCGATATTGTTCTATGTACAATCCTTGTTTTATTGATTGCATGTAATAATCTACTTTTTTGAGGTTGTGGATTTGGGGTTCTTGGGGTTTTCATGAGCTGTAAGCCATAATCATCACAATTGTGACAAATCACGGCTTGAATTATCTTGCTTTGCATGTAATGAGTCTCTCTCATATATTAGTTTCACCTTTTAAGTTGCATTAGTGAAATAAATGAACTTTGCACGATATTCTAATTATTCTAGTTTCACCTGTATATAGCCCGGACTACGAGGTGTGCAGTTGGGAACAGATGGCCTGTCGATTCCAAAAGGCTCACAAGATGGAGTTCCCTGAAGAATAGGTCTCCAGCAGCAACAAAATGGCAGCAGAAGAGGGGTACTGGAACCATGCTTGGCTGAAGCCCTGAGCCTAAATGCAGTAACTGGCATTTTTTAGCAACTCAACACCACCAGAGACCGCAAGGGCACATAGAAAACAATAGTGTGCGCCCCATTCATACAACACAGGTGTGTTCTGCAGTGCAGAGTGCTGCCAAAAAAATAGACATGCTACATTTTTATTTTTGCAGGGCCCCGCAGTTCAGTACATCGTGCTGCTGTGTGGGGGACCTGAATGCAATGTACAGTTTGTAAACTCCAAATAAAGTTTTTTTTTAAAAAGCAGACAGGCTGGTGTGAATGTGCCCTCGCTGTACAATCTGTAGTGTTGTAGTTTACAAATATTTCCACCAGAGGGCAGTGTCTGAGCACAGATTGCAGCTGGACAATGCTCAGTCTTTATTGTGGGACATGACTTGGATTTTGCAGTTTAGGTGATCACAAACACGAGGTCACATCGGTCAATATGTCCAGGTCATGGCAGTATTAGGAGAAGTTCGGCACATTCAACTGGATATCTTCTGAACTGAAAGAGCTTCCTGAATAAGCAGCAAAGTGTCTTCAACATTATAGAACAAGTCCAGGTAAATGTGACTAATTACTCCGATGTGAGACATGAGTTGGAGAAGATTAACCATATCCTTATCATTGTGCTCCATTCACGTGGCATCAATGAAAGTCATTCGGGATTATTTCCTGAGTACGTTGCATATTGTTGCAGATGTGAGTGAATGTAAACGTACACATTTGTGTTTCAGACGAGTACTTTCATTGCAGTGCTTTGATTGGGTTAGGCATGGGGGAGAGTGTACAGGAATTCACAGCCTTCCATTGACACTTTCATAGAGGTGATAATATGTAGCCATCGAATTAGGAATTCATTTTGATATTTAAAAAAAGTAACCTAATTTTTAGTGTTCAATGGCCACCTCTTACATCCAGGAGTGCCCAGCGCAGTCCCCCTTACATCCAGGAGTGCCCAGCAGAGTCCCGCTTACATCTATGTATGCCCAGCAGAGCTGTCACACCTCCCCCCCTTACGTCTATGTGTTCCCTATGTGTGCAGAGCTGTCGTCATCCCCCCTACTTCAGGAGTGCCCAGCACAGTCTGCACCTTACATCTATGTGTGCCCAGCAGAGTCCCGCTTACATCTATGTGTGCCCAGCAGAGTCCCGCTTACATCTATGTGTGCCCAGCAGAGTTCCCCTTACATCTATGTGTGCCCAGCAGAGCTGTCACACCTCCCCCTCCCCCCCTTACGTCTATGTGTTCCCTATGTGTGCAGAGCTGTCGTCACCCCCCTACTTCAGGAGTGCCCAGCGCAGTCCCCCTTACATGTGTAAAACAGAAAAATGGTCACCAGCACTCCAGGAATCCTTTTATTCATTCTCACAGGTCATATCACCATGCGTGGCCACGTTTCGGAACCTGTCCGGTCCCTTCCTCAGGCAAACAAAAGTGATTACGTCTATGTGTGCCCGGCAGAGTCCGCCCTCACATCCAGGAGTGCCCGGCAGGGTGGAAGGCAGTGCAGGTCTGATGGAAAAAAAATCTTGTCTTTCTGTAAATTCTGGGGGTGATACATTCATATCTTTGGTTGCTATGATGACCACACAAACGCTTGCTACACAAGCTGAGGGCTATGGGCATAGATGAGGTGGTGTGTACGTGGATAGAGAACTGGCTACGGGAACGTGTCCAGAGGGTATCTGTAAATGGCACCTTTTCAGACTGGGCTAGTGTAATGAGCGGTGTGCCTCAGGGTTCTGTGCTGGGTCCCATATTGTTCAACTTATTTATTAATGACATCGGGGAGGGTGTTAAGAGCGATATTTCCGTGTTTGCGGATGACACCAAAATAGGGAGGGTAATAGACACGGACTTAGACACTATAACATTACAGGAGGACCTGGATAAAATAGGGGAGTGGGCATTAATGTGGCAGATGAGGTTTAATGTCGATAAATGCAAAGTAATGCACTTTGGAATTAAAAATAAACAAATGGGTTATACAATTATGGGTATGCCGCTGGGGAAGTCAGAAATGGAGAAGGATTTGGGGGTCATTGTAGACCACAAACTGAAAGGTAGTTTGCAGTGCCAGGCTGCTGTAAACAAAGCTAGCAGGGTCTTGTCCTGTATTAAAAAGGGGATGTATTGC